TGCTGGTCTCCTCCGCCGCGCCTCGGCCCGGGGGGGGGGCGCTCCGCGAGGCGCACCGGCACAGCGAGGCAGGTGGATGGCGAAGAAGCAGGGAACAGCGGTGTCGCCGAACTGACCTCCTCTAAATGCCACTTTTTAACGCTCTCATCATCAGTCTCCAATTTCCAATGAAATAAAGCGTGTATGGGGCACTTTATCATACTAGATCGAGGAACTCTTCGGATTTCTGGCCATGATTATAATCAATAAAGGAATATTCTTGCTCAATCTTTTTCAGTTGCTCTAGAAGATGAAGTAGAAAATCAGAAACTAAAGAAACCTGAAATTCAAGACAGTAATGATCCTTCTTTAAATGGAAAACAAAAGCATCAGTTAAAACATCGTGAGTTGTTTCTATCTCGACAAGTGGAAACTATTCCTGCCACCCACATCAGAGGAAAATGCTCTGTTACTCTTCTTAATGAGACAGAATCTCTCTTAAGTTACCTGAATAAAGATGTATGTATCATTTGATCTGCTATTTAAAATTGATTTCTGTGTTTTGTATTTTTTTAAATACTTCATTCATTCATTTTTATTATACAGGATACATTCTTTTACTGCTTGGTGTTTGATCCTTCCCAAAAAACTTTGTTGGCTGACAAAGGAGAAATTAGAGTTGGTGGACGTTACCAGGTAGATCCAGCTCAGATGCCTAAAGAACTCGAAACTCGTAAGTAGTTTTATTGTGTGTTTTTTTCTTTAATTATTATTTATAGTTGGTGTCTAGTATTTTTATTAATTTTTGTCTTTATTTTGCTCTATTAGCTGAAAACGACCAGCGAAAACTAGAGGATTTGGAAACACTGGTTTGGACGCCTGGTCACCATCTTACCGATAGGCAGATTGATCAATTCCTAGTAATATCAAGGTCTGTTGGGACATTTGCTCGTGCCTTGGACTGCTCAAGTTCTGTCAAACAACCCAGTCTTCATATGAGTGCTGCAGCTGCATCTGGGGGGTGCGGTGGGGGTGCTTTATTTAAGAGCACATCTCTTGCCTTGGCGCGGCTCACCCGTGCCGTGTGGGCTTCCAGGGCATCCCACCTGAGGAGGCTCATCGTGTCCCTCGGCGACGAATAGGCAATCAGATCGACCTACTGCCGACACCGGCGCAGCCCCCGGGCCGCAGCCCGCAGCTCTCAGCCCCAGACTCAGCCGCCACCGGCCGCAGAGGTGGGCGGGCAGGGCGACCCGGCCACCCCCGAGGCGTCGCTGGGGCTGCGGGGCGGAGCGGCGGAGCTGAGCATTCCGTGTAATGAGTGTGGGAGAGAGACGGCACGACCGGGGCGCGGCGGCGGTGTCTCTGGGCGCGGCCTCGAAATGGAATTGGGGAGGCAGGGGGAGGGGAGGAGGTCCGGCGGAATGCCGGATAGGAGTCGAGGGGTGGAAGATGGTTTCAACGGCGGCGGGGAGGGTTGGCGCGGCGCGAACAGGGGTGGGGCTGGGCTGGTTTGGAGACGGGCCGGTTTGTTTGGAGAAAAATAATGGAGAGGAAGAGAGAGGGAGGGCGACCCCGTGTTTGGCTGCGGGTCGCTGCTCGAGGGCGAGACTCAAGGTTCGAGTCGAGACGTGCATCGCCGTGGGGGCCGCGGTCTGCGTTATGGACTGCGGTGGGTGGAAGGGCCCCGGCTCCCCGGCGGTGTCTGTTAAACCCGTTGTGGCTGTTGTCGACCGTGTCCGACCTCGAAGCGCGTTTTGCTTAAACCTCGGCTCCCCCCTCGTTGGGGTAGGTCCAGCCCTGAGCTTAACTGGAGCTGGGGGTTGCGGCTGCCCTGTCCTGGCTGTGCCGCGCTAGCGTAGCCCTGCCGTGGGGGGTGGGCGTGGGGGGCGGCGACCCTGGGGGCGGGGTGAAGGGAGCCTGCGGCCCTGGCCGCCCCCTGAGGTAGATCGGAATACGGCGATGAATGATGGATGGTTTTGTGTCCGCCCTCTGCTTTTCTCTGCTCTCTGCCGAACTCTGCACTATCGCATCCATGCACCTGTCGGCCGGCCCGGGCCCGGGGAGTCGTCTTCCAGTCCACCCTCACCGCGCAGCCCGGCGCAGCCCCAGGTCCTCGGGGCTTCGCCAGAGCCTCGCGGAGGGAGCGGGGACGTAGTGGGAATTAGTAAATGAGCAGAGAGACGGTGGGGCCCGGGACGGGCCGGCGCGGGGGGGAGGGCGACTATCGATCCCGGAGCGGAGTGTACCGGGGCGTCGCGGGGAGGGGGTGGCGGCGGCGAGCGTCTGCACCACACACTGAGAGGGAGAGAGATCTCGCATGTGCGCGGTGGGGGTGTGGCCCCCCCGAGCTTCACGGGCCGCGTGATAATGACGGAGGAGGAAGTGAAGAAAAATAAGGGTGGCCGCGGCGTGGCTTGGTGCGGGGTGCGGCGGGGTGGGGCCGCGGGGCCGGCCGGCGCGGGGCTATCTTTAGCCCGTCCCCTCGGCCCGCCCCGCCGGTCCTTCGCGCCCTGGCCGTTGCACCGCGGGTCACTCAAAGTGAAGTAACCCGAAGCGGTCCGCGTCGCATCGGGTACTACACTGTTATGAGAGTTCCGCCTCCGCTCGGAGCTCGACACGAGGCCTCCCGCCGCGGCCCCCGCTGCAGCTTCTTCCCCCTGTCCGCCCTCCCCTCGCTCCGCCACCTGCCCCCTCCGCGGGGGGTGGCTCCCTCCTTTGCCATGTGTTGCGCCCCTATCTCTGGCCGGGCTGGCTCGCTGCGGCTGGCAGTGTACTCAGCCCTCCCCTACTCTGGACGGGGTCCTCCGCGGCCCAGCATCCCTTTCAAAACTTGTTTAATTTATTTAGCGTTCGTTGGAGCGGATGGTTTCGGCTGGCCGTGCCCTCGCCCTCGCTCCGCGCGGGCACTACGGGCGGCAACCCACCCTTACCCTATCTCATGCCCCCCCCCCCTCTCCTCTCCCTGTGCCGTGCCACACCGAATCCTGTCCGCGGAAGGACTGGTAGCCGCGGTGCGGTAAACTGCTAAAGCGACTTTTTTTTTTTT